AAAATATCCAGAGTATTTCTTTCTTTTTTGTTGTTTTTTTATCTTGCTGATCTTTGACATGATAACATGTGTAAAATCTAAAGTCTAGGTCAATGTTTCGTTTTTTCTTTATCTTTTTTTTAAGTTCATTTAAATGTACTTTTAAATTTAACTAGTAGAATATTTATTTGAAAAAAAACAAAAATTGTATAAATGATAAATATATAAATTTAATATTGTTTTGATTATTATTATTATCAATATTTTAATTATATTGATTTTATAAAATTAAGAAAAAGTTCTTTTATACACTATAGATTAATCAATAATATGTTTAAACAAAAAAAAAGAATAAATTTAATGACAAGTAATAAAAGTATTTATTTAAGTTTTTTATTGTTACAAAAATTGATGTGTGTGTATTTTTTTTATTCTTCTTTATATTAGGAACAGTTAAAATTTATATTGAAAATAGTTTTTATTTTCTTCTTCTTCTTCTTTGTTTTTATATTTGATTCATCATATCAAAATAAAAAGTGCATAGTCATGCTCAAATTGTCTTGTGTATAAAACGAAATAAAAATAAAAATAAATGCACTTAGATTTTTCGTTCTCTATACTTGAGTTTCATTATGTTTGAATCGTAAGTCAATGTGACATGTTAAGAATTTTTATATTGTACTTTAAGAAATAATTTGATCGTCCTTCGATGCGTTCGATCTTAAATTGAATCCTAAATTGTACCCGATTCCCATTTGTTTCTAATTTGATTTCAATGCGCCAATTATAGCAGCATCTTGTGTAGAATAAATACTAACCATTATTAGATGGTCATTGACATGTCGTCATATTTTCTTATTTCTCTGTCTTTCGTTATACTTCGTCATGGATGTTTGATTTTTTTTTCCTTTTCTTTCCATATGCTCTTGTCCATAATGAGTACTGGGGTGTTTCCTAAACATCTATCATAAGGAAAATAAGACCCTAAATGACGCTCAGTTGATTTAAAATTTACTGAACAAGAAATGAGAGGTAAGAATAAAATATTGTAATCTTATCTCTGTTTAATAGTACATAGATTTTTTTATCTATAAAAATAAGTTAGAAAAGTTTGAGAAACGTATTAAGCAAAAAAAAAGAATTAGAATGGAATAAATTGAATGTAAATCAACTAATTTCTATTTCTTTCTTTTTTTTATTCATTAGAAAAAAATCTTAATATATAATCATTATATTTTTAAAAATTTTAAGGTACACAACTTGGTTTTCAAACAAATACAAATAATGATGAATCAATAAATTCATTATCAAATGAATATAATACAAATTCATCTAATATTAATAATTCATCATCATTATCAACCTTATTTTCAACATTAACATCACCATTTCGACCACGTTATAAAACATTTATATCATATAAAAAACATCCAAATGGTATAATTAAACAAGATAATAATCATACAATATATCATCAACTTGATATACATAGAATAAATGATGAAAATAATAATGAAAAAATCAATGATATAAATCAAAATTCAATAATTATTAATATACCAACAAATTATTCAAATGATATATTAATAAATACTGATAATAAATATACAAATTTTTTTATATTAAAAGAATATATACATTGGATAATTTTAGCAAGTTTTATTTATTTTCTATGGTTTATATTTATTGCTGGTATTTCAATAGTACATATATTAATTTATTTAATTTTAATTATTTTTTTAATTATATCTGAACGTACAAGACGTTTTGCATTAGCCGTATTAATTTATTTAACATATTTACTTTTATATGATGCATTACGTTTAATACCAAATTATACAGTATCAAATATTCATATAGAAGATATTTATTTAATAGAAAAAAAAATATTTGGAATTATTAAAAATGGACATATGATGACATTAAATGAATATTTTCAAGAAAATCATATTGCATTTTTAGATATTTTTACAGGAATTTGTTATCTTAATTGGTAAGATTTTTTTTTTTTGAATATCAAATTAGATATATATCATATTCAATGATTTTTAATTTTATATTGAATTTGATTTCGAAACCAATAAAAACCTACAAATGATAATAGATCACTATTCATGAAAATTTGAATTGATTTATATATATATATATTGATTGTAGTCTTTTTAAAAATTTTTTAAGTACAAGATTTATAATCGATTATATGACTCTTTATGATATGCTATAAACGAGTTATTAGATATTATAAGTTGAAATATATATATATATCTTAATCTGATTAGAATACTTTATAAGGTGTCAATATATAGTATAGATACCTTTTTTTTCATGTATTCAAGATAATAAACTTTTCGATAAATATTTATACATGAAAATTTATATCATTAGGAAATTTTTCTTTTAATTCACAAGCTGATTAATTTCATTCATATAGTATGATGAAATATATTTAAATATTTGTCTTAGATTACAAGATGAGATTTAGTTTATCTTGTAGAGACTTTTTTTTTTGTTGATCACAAACATCAATACATTAGCTGTTACTAATTGAACATTTATCAATAATTCGAAAAAAACATATAATATAGTTCTTCTATGAGATGGATATTTTGTATTTAATCATTTATATTAAAGTACTCATCTCAAGGTTAGGTATCATCTTGTATCTAGACGGGTACACTCAAACATGTTTCCTAGTTAGCTATATATATAAAATTTCAGTAGTAGCAGATCAAGGATATTAATAAAATTGATTTCGACAAGACAAAAAAAAAATCATGATATTTTACAATAGGCGTGTTCCATGAAAAAACTATGTTAAGAACGACTGAATGTATCGAGCTGTCCTCTGGTATTTAAGGGTTTCTTGACGTGCTCTTTCTTTTGTCTAGCGGATATATTTGTTCAAAATGCTCGGAAGTAGGTTTTCCAGAAAACCGTGGTTGCGAAAGTTTTTTTTTTATTTTAACAGTCTATATTGACAGAGCAACCAATTCTGTACAAAATGAGATGTCTCCGAGGTCTCTACGACTTTTTTTGACCGAGTTACATCAATTTTTGGTGAAAGGCAAAAACTGTTTTTTTCCCAGAGGAATAGCTTTTGCCTTCTACTAAAATTGATGTAACTCGGTCAAAAAAAAGTCGTATAGAGCTCGGAGACATCTCGTTTTGCGGGGAATTCATTGCTCTGTCAATATAGACTGTTAAAACAAAAACAATTTCACGACCACTGGTTCCAAAACCACAGTTTTCTAGAAAACCTACTTTCGAGCGTTTTGAACAAAAGTGTCCGCTAGACAAAAGAAAGAGCACGTCAAGAAACCCTTAAGTATCAGAGAACAGCTCGATACGTTCAGTCATTCTTAAGATAGTTTTCTCATGGAACACGCCTATTAGAGATGTACTCATTCGAATCTACGATAATGTAGAATTTAACATTAATTCTATCAAGTCTATGACAACAAATAGACAATGTCAATTAGGTGCAATAATGAACAATAAAATTGATAAAAATATTTTCTAACAAATGAAGTTCTTCAACTATTCAATCGAGAATTTGTTTATTATTTATATGAAAATAAGCTGTAAATGTCTTAAAAAAAAAAACAAAAATGGTTCATGTCCTTGACTTATTATTATAAAAGTAAGAGAATTTTTCGACTTAAAATTTTGTATAGACAAAATTTCAAAGCAGAAAATTTTCTTATTACCATAGTATCTCTTTAACAATAAACTAAAAGTATGAACTTTTTCTATGTTATCCATAGTTCATTTAGATATAATCAATGCGCATAGGTCAAGAAGAAAAAAAACGAAAATTCCGTAGTCCCTGTACTTTCAGACTATGTCATAATTGTACATCAGATCTATTTAGTTAATTCACGTCTCCTATCGATCTGTGTTACAGTATATTTAAACGATAATTTTTTTTTTTTGTTATTCGAGTATTTTTTCCTTATGTGATTGAATCATATGTCTGTAAATTGAAGTTTATAGAAAATGAAATAGAACTTTTTCAATTGTTTTTTTAAACATAGAAAAGACATTAAGAGAAAATTTGAAATTGTCTCTAATCAAAAACATTGATTCAAACATACTCATAATTTGTTGTTGTTTTCTAAATTTTATCTTCTACTTTTTTGTTTTAGGATTCCTATTCCTGTAGCCTATAGTCTTTATCTTTATCGTTATAAAAGTAAACGAGATTATATGGATTTTGCATTTACATTTTTATTAACTAATATTCTTGGTTTTGTTATTTATTATATAATACCAGCGGCGTAAGTAAATCATTGTTTTTTTTTGTTATTAATTATCTTATATATATATATAGACCACCTTGGTATATTGAATTATATGGTTTTGAATTTAATTTAAACGTACCTGGTAATCCAGCTGGTTTTATACATTTTGATCAAATAACAGGTTTAAAAGTTTTCTCATCAATGTATTCAAAAAATGCTAATGTTTTTGCTGCTATACCATCATTACATGCAGCATATCCATTAATAACTGTTTTATATGGTTCATTAAGTAAAAAACTTTGGTTACATATAACATTTGTTTTATTTACATTATGTGTTTGGTTTTCTGCGATTTATTCTCGACATCATTATGTTATTGATGTATTAGCTGGTGGTATGTGTGCTATAACAGCTTATATACTTTATCGTCTTTTATCTCGTATACCAACAATAAATAGATTACTTAATGCATACAATAAATTAATATGAAATTATTTTTTTTTTTGTTTTTTTTTTTTTATTTGAAATTATTGAAAAATATGTGTTAAATGTGTATATGAATGGTAGCCGTTTTTTTTTTTTTTTAAATATTGTCAGATTGCTGTTTACATACAAGCAAATAAAGAAGAAAAAAGAAACGATCTTAAAACAACAACAACAACAACAAAAAAAAAGAAGCTTGATATTTGCTTTATTTCAATGTTTTTTGGTTCTATCTAATTTTCTTCCTTTTTTTGTTTTCTTTTCTTTTTTTTTTTTTTTTTTTTTAAAAAAATAAGCGACAATGAATGAAATTAGATAATACCATTCATATAATTGATTTGTTTGTTTTTTTTTTTTTTTTTTTTTCTAAAATAAATATTGCAAGTAAGAACAATTCAAATGTTCTAAATGATTTGAGATTAATTTTTTTGTTCATTTATAATTTTCATTTCATATATCAATAATTTATAATAAAACTTAATATCATTATTATTCATAGACAAATTTGCATGAAATATTCTCATTAATATCTATTAATAATCAATTTGAATTGAATCATTAAAAAATAAAATTATTTACACATGAGAGAATATCTGCTGCTATATAGGTTATATTTAACTCATATAGATTGATTTAAATCAGATCAATGAAAGCCTTGAATTTCTAAAAATAGGTTTTTTTTCTTTTTTGCTATAGGCATATTACAATAAAATTGAGTTCGCTTGAAATATTAATAATTCGATGAAGAAATATTCTTTATTACTGAAGTGTTTAGATAAAATTTTATTATTTAATATTTCGAAAGATATCTTAAATAAGTCGACAGTTCAATAAATGAATCAAAAATCGATGCTAAAGAATCCATAAGAACGACCTTGTTTTTTTTTTTGAAGTGTTTACTCGTCTCACCGAGGTTTGTTGATGAATTTCAATCTCTTGACACCAAAACAAAATAAAAAAACATCGAATATAATCTTTACACATAAATACTTCAAATCAGGGTTATAATTCACATGAATAATTACAAATATACCCATAAGCAATCGTGTAATACGAATAAATTTCACTACTGAATCATAGACCAATGTTTATGTTGGTAATTTTCCAAAATATACATGACAATTTACGTCTTAAAATTATGTACTTTCTAAAAGATTTTTTTCTTATGTAATATTATGTTTTTCTTTCTCATGTATGTATGTATACATACATATTGTTATATAGGATTCTTTCTTTGCTATATGTATATACAGGTATGCGTCTTTATTCATATATCTATGTGTATAGTCATTCTTTTCTATTACTTTTACTATCTCAAATAAATCTAAAACTCATGTTCATATGTATATTTAAATACTATAAAACTTCTAGTTAACATTAACGAGAAAATCATTCGAAATAGTATACGACAATTTGAGGTCATATTGAATCTATAAAGAAATCTTACAAAGGAAGGTCTCCAGGTGCCACACTCCGTTTTGAATCGGACATATGCCATTTTGTAGAGCTCAGTGAGATTAGCAAAAGCTTAAAAGGGTTCTTCCCCATAGGCCTTTGGGAGTCGAGTTATGCCCTTTCTACTGAATTTTTGACCATTTTTTCGATATTGAGCAGTAAATCAAACAACAGAGTTTTGATCTGAAATTTTGCCCATAGATAGGTCTAATCGTCTTTAGAATATCTTGAAAATTTCAGCTGAAAAGAATGTTCCTTTATCGAGATATTGGATATTCAAGTAGGTTGGCTTTTTGCGCCTTGTCTGTAAAAGCGATGATTTTTTAATAATTCAATATCTCGACAAAGGAACATTCTTTTCAGCTGAAATTTTCCGGATATTCTAAAGACGATTAGACCTATCTATGGGCAAAATTTCAAATCAAAACTCTGTTGTTTGATTTACTGTTCAATATCGAAAAAATGGTCAAAAATTCAGTAGAGGGGGCATAACTCGACTCGCAAGGCCCATGAGGAAGAACCCTTTTAAGCTTTTGCTAGTCTCACTGAGCTCTACAAAATGGCATATGTCCGATTCAAAATGGAGCGTGGCACCTGGGGACCTTCCCTCGTTAGTGAGACTAGGAAAAATTTGAAATAACTTGTTGTCATAGAACTTCGAGTTTGAACTGGGCAATTTCAATTCGAAGTTGAAAAGAATATTCATTTACGCAAGATATAAAATTTAATTCTTAAAAAAAAAAGTATTTTTAGCTGAAACTTCTCATGGACATTATATTCTTTTCATATTTCGTTATATAACAAAAGTTTAGTCAAAAAATAATTATAATTTAGCTTCAAATGTTGATAGAAGCAAATTATTTGAGACTTTTGTTAATTTTACCTTGTAATTTCGATATAAACTCAAATAGTATATATTACCTCGGTTGGTTTTCTCCATCAACCTATGTTCATAGACATACATAAAAAAAAGAAACATGCAAATCGATTTATTTGTACAAAATCAACAGAACTTTTTCAATGTAAAGTACTAAAAATTGAAAAATTTTACGTAAAGTTTTATTTTCAATTTATTTAATGTAATTAGATCGTGCATATCAAATTACCTATGAAAAAAAAAATACGATTACTTCCTAATTGTAAAGATTCAATCGACCAAAAAAAAACAACCTTATTTAAATAAGGTTTTTTTGATTAATTGAATTAATATAATCAGGAAGTAATCTTTATTGTATTTTATGAAATGGAAAAGTACAATATTTACATATTTGTAATCATGATATTTCTAATGATCATGTTTAAAATTTGTTTGTTTTAGAAAAAAAAAAATTTTTCTTTTTTCCGAAAAGTATTTTTTTTTTTTCATTGAAATAATTCAATATCTTCTATCTAATGAAATGATATAAATTCAAAAAAAAAACAATTTTTACCAATCAATAATATTCTCTTGATATTCAAAAACAAATGCAAAATCATTTATACAATTTAAAATATATATTCTTATAAATTTTACTCAAATAAACTGTAAAAATATGATGTAAACTGTTTGATTCTTAGAGAGTATTCTTGAGTATATTTATGAATTCTTCACATGAAAAAAAAATAACAACAATAATACAATATAATTATAACATACATCGTGTTGAATAGAATATATTATAATGATTCATATAATATGAATGTTATTGACAATAACTCATCGAAATCTAAGTGCTAGTAACGATATATATTTGAAAATAAAAATGTACATAATATTACCAAAACGAAAAAAAAAATTATTAATACTCGTTTGGTTTGTTAATAAAATCATATTTTGAAATGTTCATTTAAAATGATTATATTACTTGGCTATTATCTGAAAAAAAAAATAAATAAATTTTAAATACTAGTTTTAAAACTTATTGATAATAATTTAATAGAAACATGAAAAATCATGAAATCTTATATAAAATTTTATTATACATTTGATGTTTAGACATATTCCATAATTTAGTTTGATCATTTATTCTTATTAAAAACACTTCTTTTTTTCTTTCTTTTAAACTATAGTTTTCTTCAAAGATACATACAAACCATTGAGATATCTCAATAGTTTGTTTTTATACATCGATTTTGTTAGAATTATTCCTTAAAATAAATACTACTTGACTTAGTAAATATAGTTTTCTTTCAAACTTTCATATTGCATCAATGTCCTAATCGTTTGACAAAATTCAACTGTTTTTGGTTTTTAATTATACTTTTAAGAAATGAAAATGAACTTAGTAGATATGTTCTTGTATGAAGAGTAAAATTCTTAGTTTCAATTGTAAATTTTCAATTAAAAACAAAACCATTTTTTGATTTCTTTCCAACGTAAAACCTCAATTAAAATTCTAATACTTTTTCCACTGGTTATATTTATATCCAATAGGTAAACGAATAATAGTTATGTTTTTTTAATTTTTTATTCTTTTCTTGTTAATGATCACTTGTTAGTTTCTTTCTATCTAAGTTATTGTAATGAAACAATCGAAATATTATACTTTTTTTTTTTTACTTATATAATAGTTTCTTCGTCATAGCATTATTGAAAAAAAAAAGACGAAGAAGAACAAATTTTCAAATCGAATACTTGAGTAGGTGTATCAACTTTTCGTAAATCACAAATGTTTGCATATTTGATGATTAGTTGCTTTTAATAGTGACCTCTGTTCGAAATATGTATGTACATACATATGTCTGTTGGCAGGACAAGGACAAATAGATGTGTATGTGTGTGTTTGCTCTCATTAGAAAAAAAAAGAAGAAAACGAAAACGAAAACGAAAATCAGAATCATTCAAGTATTTATATAACGATCATGACAATTTTTGTTTGTCCCTCAAGATTGTTGTTATTCTTGAGACGAGAAGAGAGAGAGAGAGGTAAGTACGCAAACAAAAAAAACGAATATTTTTATGTGCCATAGCCAATATTTCCATAATCAATAAGCAAATAAATATATTCCTTTTAGACATTTATTCGTAGAAAGAGAGAGAGAGAAAGAAAGAAAATGATGACTAATATTAACGGATTTATTACTATGTAAATTTTGTAAGTATTCATTTTCGAGATTTTTCTTCTTTTTGTTGATGTTGAAAAAAACAAAAAGTACAACCTAAAATCATGACTCAATCTATGTGTCATTGAATGTTCGAAGATTTGTTTTTTTTTTATTATTATTTTTCAATAGATACGTTAGCATGATGATATGTCATCATGCATTTACTCTCTTTTTTTTCTTTTATGTATGTGCGCGCGTTTAGTCAATTATTTTACTAATTTACGTTTTTTTGATAGTAAAGAAGTATGTGTATTTGTGTTGGACGATCGATAAGAACATAGGACAAGTTGTATTTGTATGCGACTTCACATTTTCTTTTCTCTAATTACTTATGATCAACTTTTCTATCGTCATCATAATAGACAGGTTGATAAGCAATACTCATAAATCTTTTTTCGCTTATAACAGGCGTATCAAGAATTATTTGCTAGTTGTCATTTGAATGACACACATATATATTTAGCACTATTCGATCATTTTTTATTAATAGAATGAACGTATATGACAATTCATCATAATAGTATAGTCATTTTTTTTTTTTTGTTATAAGCCATGACCGACAAAGGTACTTGTTTTTTGTTTTTCTTTGACTGATTTACTTGCATTACTCATAAAAATCGCAAATATAGGTGAAGTTAATTATTGTTACAAAATGAAGCCCTAGACTTCAATAAGTGTCACTTGTTAGACATTGAATATTCGAAACACATACTTCAATCATTAGCCTTTTTATTATTAACAATTATTGTCTTTTCACATTTGAATGTTACATAGTTATTGATCGTTTATCTAATACTTTCTTTTTTTGCCTTCTCTCTCATGAATGAACAGGTATGGTTCTATATCAGTAGTAAATTTTCTTTTCTATTATACCTATATGAATGTGAACGTTGTTCTTGACTTGACATAACGGAAGTAGAACATTTTTTTTTGTGCCGGTTTTTTTTTTCATTTCTTTTAATTGGTCTATTTCGTAGAAGAGAAAGGTGAAGATCGTTACTCTTTTTTTTTTCCTCTATAGACCAATATATTAATTGTAGATAAATAGTTGTGTGAATGTTTGTCCGTAGACTTAGTAGATAAAAAAAGAAGAAAAAAAGACCACTTTTTTTTTTTTAAATGTCTTTCAGATGAAACGATTATTGTTAAGACTATGATATTTCTGATTATTATAATATAAAAAATAAATTTACACAATGGATTTTGATTTAAAAGAAGTATTTTCAATTTTGGATGAAAATAATGAGGGACAAATTCAGTTACGTCGTTTTGTTGATGTTGCTAATAATTATTATTCCGATGCTGAAGTAAGTACATTAGAATTTTAATATATGAACAACTGTTCATATGAGTATACTTCTAAAGAAACGTGAAACTAGTCAGTTCTTTTCTTCTTCTTCTTCTATCGAGAGAGAACAAAAAACGTGCTTGATTATTAAATCGGAATACAAAATGCAAATATAAAGCATAAAAATGACGGTCTTTTTAGAGTCAGGTGCATATGTAAATCGTCTCATATTTGTATATACATAAATCGAACATAAAAGCTATGATTATTTTCTTTTCTTTCTCTGATTTTTCTTTTTCGATCAATACCACATAATATTTATGATATAAACAAATCTATTGTTCTCTCTTTTTTTTTTAGCAACTTGCTAGAATAACAAAAGCATTAGATCCAAAAAAAACTGGTTTTATTAATTTTAATCAATTTTGTCATGGTATTGCTCAAATAAGTTCATTACAAGGTGTTTCATTAAAAGATGTTGCATCTGATTTAACACGTCGTAGTCGAGAAAATTCATTAGTAGAAGATTCTGATCAACGTAGTTTGGTAAGATTAATAAATTATTTATTATAATTTAATTATATAGAAAACAACAAAAAAAAATATATATATATAGAAAGAAAAAGAATTTTATTTTTCTTAGAAAACAAATAATGGTTTTGATTTTTCTTCATTATTATATTTACCAAATCTTATAATCGAAGAGGTTATTTAATATTATTTTGTTAATATTTCTTTGTCAATGTCTTTTAGTTTTATTCTTTTTTTTTTTTCTCAAATCTTAAAAATTGTCGGGGTTTTTTTTTTTGAAAATTTTTTATAGAATCAAGACGGTAGTACAACAACTTTTAACGAGTACGACGTTGAAAGTGAAGAAGCATCTCATACTAACAAACTACAATTAACAAACAACAAACTTAATACTAAAAGTAAAAATATAAATCAAAGTTTGAACAATAGTCAAAATAATCAATCGTTTTCACCAATATTGGATTCATCTGTGTAAGTTAATCTTAAAAAAAAATGCGCTTTTGAAGGTCTATATACTGTTCAGAAGACAAAAAAAAACATAAAACAAATTCTCATCCATTAAAGTCTTATAGAAGTAATAGAACTATTCGAAATGTCATAGATTGTTTGAACTCATAAGGAGGTTCTAGTAAGACTAGAAAAAGTGTGCAAGAGTTCTTGTTCATGGACCTCTGATATTGACTTATTTTCAACCAGCCTATTTACCCATAGATAGGTTTCATGACCCCTAAATTTCAACCAAAAAAAAATATTGAATTTCCTAGTAAACACGATTTATTTGACATGTCTGTAGGAAATTACTATTTATTAGAAATTGAATATTGCGACAAATCAATATTAGTTTTGGCTGAAATTTTTCAGATATTTTAAGACTCATTAGATCTATCTATGAGTTGAATTTCAGGTCGAAAATTCAGTAAGACGATTTAGGTTCGATGCCTGAGATAGTTGGGCACGTATTCTTTGAGGCCTTGTAGCCTTACTAACGAGCCGATTGAGCTCATATTTTGCCCATAAGTAAGACTAGAAGAAGCTCGGAAGGATTCGTCACTATACGCTGTTCTTCCGGAATTACGACCATTTTACTAGTTTTTCAACCTCTGGCAATAGTATTTATAGGAAAGACCAACAATGGAATTTTTTCCATAAACAGGTCTCATGGTCACTAGAATGTCCTAAGGGTTTCAGCTAAAATGAACGTTTCTTTCTCAAGATATTGAATTTTCAAGGAACGATCATATTGCAAAGGCAAACGTCAAAAAATCGAGTTTCTTGAAAATTCAATATCTCGAGAAAGAAACGTTCATTTTAGCTGAAACTTTTAGAACATTCTAGTGATCATAAGACCTGTTTATAGACAAAATTTCATTGTTGACCTTTCCTATAAATACCATTGCAAGAGATCGAAAAACCAGTAAAACAATCATAACTTCGGAAGGACAGTGAATGGGAACGAATCTTTCTGGGCGTCTGCAAGTCTTCTTTATGGGCAAAATATGAGCTCGATCGGCGATTAACACTTGGAGAGGTTTCCTCGTAAAGACCTCCTGTGAGTTCAAATGGCAAACAAGACACTTTTGATTTTATTTTCACTTCTCTATTTCATTTGATAAGAACCCGGAAGTTATTTTATTCCGCTGTAGTATTAAATTTACTTGAAATGTTTATTTCTGTTTGTAATTAGCGATGTCCGAAAACAAAATTTAGACGTTTTCTGAATTATGAAGAAAAAAAAAATATTCTTGTTTTTTTCTCTCTTATAGTTTCGGTGACGAAGAAGAATTCACTGGTATAGCTGAGCCGAATTCTAATAATTATTCAACGGATTTAATACATCCACGTGCTGGTACACCTCAACGTATAGCGTATGTTTGATGTTGTTTTTTTTTATATTTTGATTTTAATATTATTTTTTTTTAGTGAAGTATTAAAACGAAATAATCCTTTAAAATCAACAATTCCATCTGAAGAAATTGATCAACAATTACAAGAAAGTGTTCGTAGAAATTTTTCAAAACAACAAAAAAGAAATTAATTTTAATTACTTCTTCTGTTTGTTTTTTTAAATAGGTTGATGAATTACAAAAAACTGTTGAAGATTTAACTGTACAAAAACAGACAACAACTGATCGTTTAACTAAAATTCAATATGAAAATACTGATTTAAAAAAACGGTAAATATTCATATATATAAAAAATTCATAAGAATTTTATTTTTGAAAAAATAGACTTTTAGCACTTGAAGATCGTTTTCAAGATCTTGAAGGACAACAATCAAGTACAACACGAAGTGAACAACAAAAATACGCTGAATATATTGTATGTTAAAATATAATTTACAAAAAAAGAAAAAACATATTTCTTTAACCTCTATTCAGAATCAAAAAGATCGAAGTTTTTTACAAGAAAAAGAAACTCTACAAACAAGGTAAATAATCTTAATAACTTTTTTTTTTTTTATCGTAAAAAAAACAAAAATTCCTATTCGATTGAATCTTCTAGTGTAATGAGGTCTGTTTCTTTTTTAAATAATTATTAATTTAACTGTGTATTCTTCTTCTTGCATGCATTGTTTGAATATATATATATGTCTTATTGTTGTTGTTCTAGCCTCTAATATATATATATATTAAAGAAGTGAATTAAATATAAAAATTATTTTTATTTTAGAATTAATGCAATTGAAACTGAACTTAAACAAACACAAACAACAAATGGACAAATGAAAAAAGACGTTAGACAATTAAAAGAGGTAAATACATATTGTGTGATTAATTTAATGGGAAAAAAAAAATTAAATTACTCTTCAATCGATTCATATAGACAATAACTAACTAAAAAATTTTATTCAAGAAAATCATAATAAATCTTCAAAATTGAGAATACTATAAATTTCATAAATCATAGTACTGTATAGAAATAAAATCGATATAGATTTTATATCAATCTGCCGGATCTATTCATTTCGATATTGGTACTGATCAATTGAATCGTCTTCGGAATATAAAAATAGATGTTAAATTTTCCGAAATGATCTTATCATTACGCTCCCTACCATCATCTTTATTTTCATTTGAAAATTTCAACCATACATTAACGTATATCTCTAACTACTATTCTTATTGAGCTTTGTAACAGAATTAATTCTTGTCCAATGAATATTATGTTGTTATAGAATTTTTAATCATCTACCAGAGATTGTAAAGGCAGGTAACAGAGCTTCGCGAGACGACTAAAAAAATCGTCCTATCCCGCTCTGTGTGTTCCGCACGATCTTGTACCATACCACCTCATTTTATCATATGAATGTAACTTCTCTTTTTCGAAGTAGACTTGAATAAAGACCAAGAAATTTCTGCTTTTATTTTCAATGTTAATCATTTATTTTACCAAATATCTATTCTGAAATAATATTTTTATTACTTTAAATACTACTCATCGAGTAACTAATCTTAGAAGATTATCTGAAAAAAAAGTCTATTGTTGATATTTTTCGAGATGTGAATGTGTATACTCTAAATAAGATTTGCAGAATGATTTGAGCCTTTGAAAAGTTCTATTTTTTAGCCGAAAGCAAAAACCTTAAAAAATGCTTCTGACATTCTTCTCGAAACTTTTTTGATTTTAGCCTAAAAGATTCTGTAAACCTCCTTTATGTTTTTTTCCAGAACGCCCACAACCCTACCTCATATACACTTGACGGGACGCACACAGGCATTGATTTAATCTCGTCCTGAAGCGGGATGGGACTAATCCCGTGTCTCGCGGAGCTCTGATAGGTAAGAATGAGTAAAGAATATTGATGTGTAAATCTACTGAATCCTGAACGATAATTTTTTTCTTATAGTTAAATAAAAAGTATATATTTAACTAATTTTATTATTTGAATATTTTTAGAAACTTGAAGATGTTGATCATCAATTACATGATAGTCAACTTCGATGTAATGATTTAGCTGAAGATAATGAAAAATTATTAGAACAATTACGTCTTCAACGTCAACAACTTGAACAAGAAAAATTACTAAATATACAAGTATAAAATAAACAAATTTGATTTTAAAATAAGAAAAGAGTAATTTTTAAATATTGGTTTTTTTTTAGCTTGCTGAACAATTATCATCGGACTCATCACGTAAAAACTTTTCTCATACATTATATAATACAGAAAATATTATAAAAACTACTGAAATACGTATTCAAGATCTTGATGCACAAGTTCGAGCATTAAAACTCGTATGTTTAGAAAATAAAAATAAGATTTCAAATAAAAATTCTTTTTATTATCTAGGAAAATGAAAAACTTAAACATGAAAATGACGAATTACGAGAACGTGCTGTTGCAATGTATATAATTAAGAAAAAAAAAAAACAAATTTTATTGATATCTTTTTTTTGTTTTTTGTCTAGTGGTATTGATGAAGGTCGACGATTAATGTCTAATCAAAGTTCATTATCATATGCTGCTGAACTTGAAGTTCTATCAAAAGATGAGGTAATAATAGATTATAATTAACGTTTTTTCAAAAAAAAAAATGAAAAATAAAAAGTCTCATGAAAACAATTTTTGCAAAAATTTATAATATTCGTTTTCTCCCTAAATATAATTTTGTTAAAAACTAAAGATTTTTCTTATTATACATAATATGAAATATTTGCAGTTAATGAGCAAATTAAGAGAACAATTATTGGCTAGTGATCGTCTTCGAGAATATATTGAACGAATGTTAACTGTAATCATCGAAAATAGTCCTCAATTACTTGAAATTACAATGAATGCTGGTACACATGGAGGTTCATTAGGAATGCCATTAAATTTAACAATGAATCAACAAACACAATCATTAAAAACATCATCAAAAGAAATAGAAAATAAATCTATTCCTTCTGAACCATTAAAAGCTACTGAATCAACTAAAAGTGATTCATTATCTACATCGACTACAACAAAACAATCAAATGACAAGTATTGTCACCTGTAACGTGGATTTCCTTCTTTATTATCAGCTTAATGCTTTTATGTTTTGTTTCTTTGACATCATAAATTAAATTCATCTTCTTCTATGCGCTTTCTCCTTTAGTTTACATAATCGTTTTCGACACTATTCATCATCTCATATCTTTTCTATATAGTAATTTAAGATCTTTATAGCTAATTATTTGCACGCTTGTTTGTTTGTTTGTTTTTGTTTTACGATAAATATTTTATTTTCTCTCTTTTAATTACGCAAAAAATATTAATTTGTTTTTTTTTTATTTTTCTATTTTAGCTCATGAGTACCAATCAACAATTACACGAATATATTGATTATTTATTAATTTTAATTTTAATGAATAATCCAACATTATTGGAAAAACATTAAAAAAAAAAAAGAATTCGAAATATTCGATATTTCTCTATTGTACAGTTCTTTTATATCTTATCTAACAAGAGAATGTTTTTTTTTCTAATTCGTTACTATTGTTAAATGTTATAACTTATTTCCTTATATTCTCTAAACATATATTATGTAAACGAAAATAAAAAGATCATATTTTTTTTTTTGCTTGTTTGTTCATCGTAAATTTACTAGTCACTCTTATTAATTCCATTTTATAAAAGAGTGATAGTTCTCTTTTTTTTTTTTTTGTATTATTTCATTTAAAAAAACATTCCATTTTTCGATGAATCGATCAGTATATATAGAAATTTTGTTCTCATTCAAACATAACAAAAAAATGTCCATAACTATTGTAGTATGTTCGAAAAATTTTATTTACGTTTTCTCTTTTTATTGTTGTCATTTGTTTTTTTTTAAAATAACTCTGCTATGTCTCATTTTTTCGATTTATTCTATTTTCCGGTTATATACGTATCTATCTTGTAAAAAAAAAAAGTCAAATAAAAAAAAGAAAATGGATTTTAATTTTTTTTTTGAAATTTCGTAAATGAATTGAAAGAAAAGAAGATGGCAGGAATACATGACTGTTGATTGATTGGTTAAAATAGGATTGTCATGGTAAAAAAAGAAAAAGAAAGAAACCTGATAATCGTTCTTCCTTGCTAATGACTCATTTTTATTGCCAAAAAAAAAAAAACGAAAAACGATTTCGTATTTCTTAAACCATTGAAGATTTTCATTCACATAAAATGAGTTTTTTTGGTAATCTTAGTAAAAAAGCTGTTGAAAAAGTCTATGATCTTGCATCAAAAGTTGAAGGTGGTAATGATTATTTAATATCAGCTACAAATACTGTCAATACATTAGTTAAAGGCACAGATCCACGGTAGAATAAATGAATAAAAAAACACAGTACGAAAATAAATATTTACATATTTTAGTGTGTATTTAAAACATGGTAATATAATTCAATTTATTTCACGAACATCTGGACGTTCAATACAAATTGTACTTTCAAGAACAAATCAATTAATATGTAATGCTATTGGTGGTACTGGTTCACAATATACAAATGCTTGTTGGGTTGTTATATCAAATCAAAATGGTCATTATTATTTTCATAATAATAATAATTTTCTTGGTATACAATATGGTCAAGTTGTTATTATACCATCATCAATAAATCAATATCCTCCTCGTGAAGCTGAATTTCGTGTACATGATGTATTAGGTTCAGCTCATGCAATTTATTTAGAATCTGTACGAACACCTGGATATTTTATTGGTTTTAATTGGAATGGTGAACCTTGTCAACAAATTAAAATAGAAACAAGAGAAAAATTTGCTCAATTTGAAATTCATCCTGTAAGTTTTTTTTTTCCGCAAATTCTATATGATTTATATTCTAATAGTTTTATTTTAAGATAATATCCTCTTGAAATGTTAAATCTGAATAAATTAATAATTGAATCATTAGATATATTATCTGTATAGTACAGTATATGTGTGTTTTTGTGAAACATAGGACAGAAGTTCTATCTCTCATTTTGAATGTTTCTATACATATATATATGCATTTGTAGAACCGTTTTTTTATATAGAAAAATTACAATAAAATGTGTTGTTTAGAATAACTATAAATTGACTGCATTAGTTCATTTAGTAAGAAAAGTTATAGATCTAGAAATGTCTATTAGATGTAAAAAGCGAATTAACCGTTAATTTTTAGTAATAATCAACATATTGATTGCAATAAATTCGTGGATTAAAATGTGTTTATATTCAAAATATGTGAAAAGGAAAATATATTACAGTCGAAATCATTACTCAAAAAAATATATTTTGTATATAACATATTTCAATTCGAACGTTGAGTACAAGAAATCTTTTTATTATTACTAAAGATCAACGACTAATAGTTTTATTTTTTATCTAACAGATATTTCTAGGTCTATCGGAGTCAATTTATAGTTATTATTTTAAAGATCACGTTTTATTTTAATTTTTCTCTATGAACAAAGTTCAAAAAATATATTTTGTTATAGAAACATTCAATATACTATGGAAGATTAAACTTCTAGCTCATTGTTCAGATTACAAATTCGCATCCATCATCCCTTCTCATATAGACACTGTGACAAACGTTATTCATATACGACCAAAAACTGTATATCATTAACATCTTATTAGAATATATGAACTACTTCCTTATTAACGTTCTAGAGCGTTAATAAAAATACAATACGAATAGGTCAAAAAAGAGGAAAGTACCATAGAGATTTTTCAGAATTCAGTTTTTTTTTATTCTTGCTATTGAACAATGATTGAAAGGGGATGGTCGGAAAATCATGGATTTTTCCCCATGCTGGAAATAGTATAAAATGAAAGTACTTGATGACTATAGAACTGCTCCGATGTCGGTTTCTTTAGATCTCATCCCTTTTGTGGATAAAAGTTTTTAAGAGAAAGTCCGTCAGAAGGTCACCCTACCTTAGCTATAGGCCGTCGGACAAAAAATATTTTTTTGATTTTGTTATCTCAAATGAAAGGTCTCGTCTAACCATAATCAAATCCAAAATATTACATCATATTTGGTTTTACCTGTGAGAAACGCGAGGTAAAACAAGTATAAAGCTCTATTTTGTCCTTAAAAAAACGGCATCCTGAGGGTGTGCTCGGTATTTTGACATTATTTCAAGAACGGCTTTACCGTTCGAGCTCGGGGCCGTCTCATTTGCTAGAGAGCAGTACAGACTACAAATTTATTCTATTTGAGTGATTAACATATAGAGCACCACTCAAGAAGAGTCCGAAATACCGCTATCCCTGATGGGCAGATTTTTCGAGTTTTTGACAGTTTTTGACCTATAGCGTTTTCTTCACTCTAAATGTTAGTTATTCAAATAGGACAAATTTGTAGTCTGTACTGCTCTCTAGCAAATGAGACGGCCCCGAGCTCGAACGGTAAAGCCGTTCTTGAAATAATGTCAAAATACCGAGCACACCCTCAGGATGCCGTTTTTTTAAGGACAAAATAGAGCTTTATACTTGTTTTACCTCGCGTTTCTCACAGGTAAAACCAAATGATGTAATATTTTGGATTTGATTATGGTTTGACTAGACCTTTCATTTGAGATAACAAAATCAAAAAAATATTTTTTTGTCCAACGGCCTATAGCTAAGATAGGATGACCTTCTGACGGACTCTCTCATAAAAACTTTTATCCACAAAAGGGACGGGATCTAAAGAAACCGACATCGGAGCAGTTCTATAGTCATCAAGTACTTTCATTTTATACTATTTCCAGCGTGGGGAAAAATCCATGATTTTCCGACCACCCCCTTTATTCTTCGAGCTTAATTTAACTAATCTCTTAGACGAATATTGAATGTGACTATTTGAATAATCTATAACAAGTGAAAATATTGATAATTTCTAGTCTAAGACAAATTAAATTTTCATTCTCAAAATGAAAAGTCATGTCTTTGTATTATTTATTTGTGTTTTCAAGATTAGCCGTTGGTCTAATACACAACCTGAACTTATTAATACAAGAGCTGATACATTTGATCCATCAGCACCTCCATCATATTGGGAAGCAACAAATGAATTAAATAATCAAACTCGAACTGATCATCGATCAAATTAAACATTCTTATAAATAATTGAACTATTTTATATATATTTTTTTTTAATTCTGTGCATTAAATATAAAATAAAATGTTTCTGTTTTTTTATATTATTGTAATCGATTTGTAACGCCATCTATCATTTGATTATTTCTGATTGGTTTTATTAAATTAACCAATATTAACTTAATAATGTTGCATATAATGGACCTCATCGATAAAAAAAAAAAAAATGGCATAATTTGTTTTAGACATCATAGATGTTGTTGTTTTTTGTCTATTATAAAATGTTCAATACTGACAAATGATAATAAGAAGACAAATAAATATTATAAACAACAATAAAAACGTTTATTAGAAATATTCAAATTACATAATGAAAGTAAAAAAACGTCGACATCTTTCAACAAAATTTCATAATCATAAAATTTCATCATTAACAAAAATAAAATTAAAACAACGATCTTCATTAAATATTAAAACAAAAAATACTAGTCAAATATCTCGTGTAAGTTTTCATTATTTATCAATACATAAATAATTTAATTGAAATTCAAATACAAAAATAAAGAAATCTAATTTGTTCTTATTGAGTTACAGTTGAAGTTTCAATCAAGTAATGATAGACTTTATTTTTTACTAATCGCACGAAAATTTAATAAGTTATCAACAATGCTAATTTCGAATATAATCATAAGAAATCTTATTATACTGACTTTTTTAAATGTTCATAGTTTTCTATTGATTATTGTCAAAAGTTTTTAGAATATAGATTATTTTTTAATTTTTCATAGCCTAAAATTCATTAACTTTCAGTAAAAAAGAAAAAAAAAATGAAACATTGTTGATTTCTAATCATAGAAAAAATTTCGTCCTTGTGCAGTACAACTGAAACATTTTCTCGAGATTGATTACACTTTAACCTTGATGAAAACTAATAAATAATATTCACACTATCAAGATAGTATTCTGATTTTTCTTTTTCTAAACATTTACAAAAATATTTTATTATTTATATTTATAATATAGTAAAATAATTATCAAACATAAGGATAATATATTTTTTCAAATCCTTTATTCATATTTGTAGTCGAGACTATGTATAATATTGTAGAGATTTGAATGTCTTATGAACAATGAAATAACTAATTTTTGGTAAAAAAAAAAAAAAAGATTTCAAGTTGAAATTCAGAACTCAATTTTTCTGATAGATATCAAAGTAATCATTAAAAAAACAAATTCGTAATAAGTTTCTGTCTCAAGCATAAAAAGTTTGAGTCTATATGATAAATTAAAAATGATTAATTAGTTAAAAGATTTTCTTTATAAAATTAAATAGTAATTTTTAGATCGTAAATAATAAAAATTTTAGATAATTGAAGTTAGGGATGTACCGAGACCGAGAGCCCGGTCTCGACTCAGTCTCGGTCCCGGTCCGTCTCGGTCTCGGTCTCGGCCGAGAATGAACGAGATCGAGACTCTCGGTCTTGGCTAGCCTCAACCTTGATATTGAGTAGTGCCGGTCTCGATCATTTCTTTATCATAGATAAGTATGCTACTCTGTCTCGGGCGAAATTATATTTCTTTAAGCTTTTCAGCTGAGATTGACCGAGATCGAGAGTCTTGGTACATCCCTAATCGAAGTATTCTTCAACATATAAGAATCATTGATATAAAACAATTAGTATAATAAATTGAATTTCTATTTTAGAAATTTTCATCTCGACATCATGTATTTTCAAATGAATATTTATCTAAAATTAATTTACCTAAATGGGAATATATTTCACCAAATATTAATCATATATTATCAGATAAACATACAAAATCTGGTGTTTATGCACATGAAATACATCTTATTCAACAAGAACTTGAAGCTCTTTTATCTATGTCAATGATACGTAAAAATATTTTACAATCAACTAATATAAATAATTTAAATTTAAATATTTATCAATATCAACAAGTTGAAAATATTTATTCATTAAAAACTATATCAAAAAAATCATTAATTAATCATCATCAACAACAATATAATAAATCATATATATTACTGGATCGACAAATATCAATGACACCTATAATAGATTCATATATTGATAAAATATGGTCTAATATAAATACATATTATCATCATATATCATCAAATGATATATTAATAATAAAAAATTTTTTTGAATATAATTAAAAAATTAAATAAAGAATATTATCAAGATTTATTAAATATAATAAAAATTAAACCTTTAATTACACATTATACAAATCAAACAATATTAGAACGTTTTCAAACAAAATTATATCAATATTATAGAAAATCATTTAATTATGATTTAAATAATAATTCATCATTACGTTGTTCAACACGTTTACAAAAAAATTCTCAAGTAAATCATTTTTCTATACCTAATATAAGTGTATATAACTTTATATATGCAGTGATACTACAATGTTATTTGATCATTCTTCAGCAAATATCATAATAATATAAGTTTGATAAGAATTGTTTTTCTATGA